AGTTCTCTCCTCGGCCGCTCTCCGATGACATCAGATCTCTGCCATGCTGGCATCCCCTGTTCTATGGCTGAATCCCATTTTCTTCTCTTCCAATAGGCAGAGCTGTGCCCTCTGAGCCGAGCTTCTTCCCTCTATGTGCTGACAGAAATCCCTGTACGGTGGCTCCTGGTAGTCTCTCAATCCTATTAGTCCAGAGCCCTTTCACTTATCCGGCCCCTCCCCCTGTTCCTCCTCCCAGCCAGCCAGCCAGGTCCTGTTCACCAGAGGCGGTTCCCCAAGGATCTGATTACACTTGCAGCCCCACCGCGTGTCCTATATCCCGAACGATGAACACCCTCTCTGTCATTCATCTAAGCCCCAGTGCTGTGGTGGGGTGATCTGGGAACCAACAGTTTAATTTTTCCGGACCCCTTTGGTGGGCACGCCCCCAGAAACTGGCGGCTAAGATCTTGGGTGTCGCTGCTGGTGTTAAGGGGAGGTGGGGATCTGGAATCCCCTCTGTTTCCCTACAGACACGCCCCTGGAGAGATTCCCCAGGTTTCCTGGCTGCTTGTATCTGGAGGGGGTGGGAGTCACACACCTGCTAACGTGGATTCCGCTGGGAAGGAATTCTGTCGGCGGAACTCTGGTGATGTCACCTCTCTGCTATGGCGGGTCCCAGGCTCCTTGCCGGAGTGTCCGAAGGGAGGGGTGGGACTGGTCTGTCTCTGGTTGGTTTCAGCTCCCGGTTCGCTATTTCATGAAGGCTTGGCGAGAGACCTCTTCCTAGAGTCCCTGCTCCGCTCCTGCTGCGCTGCGCCTCGGAGGCTATCCGCCCTGACGCGGGGGCCGCGTGCAGGCAGCCGACAGTCGCCGAGTCGCGCGAGCAGCGGCTGGCGGGTCTGGACCTCTGCGCTGCATGGCGGAGATTCACTCGTCTAGCGCAAACTGTCACCTCCAAAAATCCTACCGATTCCCGGCCGGTCTCTCTTTAGTGGAATTTTGCTAGGAGTTTCTCAGCAGGTCGAATCTAAGCGTATCCATGCGTCTCTCTGACCCCGTTGTTGAGGAGGTACTGAAAGCGCTGCCTCCCCTCTCGCCGCCATGTTGGATTGATTAAGTCTTGATATCTCTTCAAGAGAGAATTTTAGAATTTGATAAATGGAGATTCCTTTAAGTGGGATATGATATTTTGTGAAAAAAACTAAATGTAGTGAATGTGAAAGAATATTAGTCTAGAAATAATTATTATAGTCAATTTTATATTTGATTTTTAAAGAGATAAATTGTTTACATAAAAATACTGCCCCATTGTATAAGGGGGCTTGTGGGTGATGTGCTAGTCTGGTGCCATGCTGTTGAATTACATGACTCTGCATTTTGCAAAACACATAGAACTTTATACCCCAAAAGTACTTTTTCTTGCATGAAAATTTTAAAAATTAACCAGGATGGAAAGCAGACTAACAAATGGATCTAACTGTATTACAAAAATAACCTCTCTGGAAGGGGCATGGAAGAAAGGACTTAAGCTAAATAACTTAGGGAAACAATGTTTCATCTAGATAGTACAAAGAATCCAGAAGTAAGACTAAGAAACCATCGCAGATCAAAGGAGACTTAGGAGGAAGATAAAGGCAGTGTAGTATCCTGGGCTGGGTCCTGGAGTAGAAAAAGGCCATTGGTGGAAGTCTGTAGTTGAGTTAACAGTGTTGTGCCATGTTAGTTTCTTAGTTTTGATAAATGTACCTTGGTTATATAAATGTTTATACATGGTTATGTGTTAATGTACCATGGTTATAACTAAGAGGAATATGGGTGAAAGTGCAGGGAAACTCAATAATAGTATGTGCTCAACTGTTGTAAGATCAAATTTATTTTCATATAAAAAGTTAAAAAGTGCTGCCTCAAAATCTATAAATTTAGAAGTTAGGCTTTGTTGATTCTAGTAAATACTGGATATTTTGGTATTCTTTTATTTTAATATGATAAGTTGTCATTTGGTAGAAGACCATTTACACATAGATATAAATGGAATTTATTTAAAGAAATAACTTTATTTTTAGGTCTTAAATAGAACTAAAACCAAACTGAATAATTTATCAAGGCTAACACAGGTTATTAATGTGCATGGGTGACTATGTTTCATCCAGCCTAATGCTTTTGCCAAACAGAACTAGTGTTTGAAATATTTCCAATAGAATATTTTTCATAGAGAACAATGCATGATTTCACCTTAAATGCATGAAAAGAAACTATAATTTCATGGTGTCAGTGAGGGAAAAAAACAGCCTATTGTTTATGTCATGGTATCTTCTATTTTAAAAAACACAGGGCTGGTGATATAGTTCAGTGGTAGAGTGCTGACCTAATGTGCACAAGGCCAGAGGTTCCATCCCCAGCCCCCCACACAAACACAGACACACAGTTCTTAACACTGCCTGTTGCCTCCCATCCAGGCAGTGATAATTACTTTATCATCCTGCCCCTGTAAGCTTATACATTTACATTATCTGGTCTGCTGTTATGGTTTGGATCTGGAATGTACCCCAAAAGCTTTTGTGGTAAAAGCATGATCCCCCATGCAGCAAGGTTCAGGGAAGGGTTTTTTAAGCAAAAGAAAAAAAAAAGATTAAAAAACTATCTGGCCCTGGTCTCTTCCTCCTCCCCCACTTCTCCACTCCCGCCACCTCCTTGAACTGAGCAGTTTTTCTCCAATATACTCTCCACCTTATGTTTCTGCCTTGGAGCTGTGGGCTGAACCTCAGAAACCATGAGCCAAAATCTTTCCTCCTCCAAGTTGTTCTTGTCAGGTATTTTGATCTTGGGAATGAAAAGCTGACCAACACACCTACATAATGGGAATGGGCATAACTGTTTCCCTTCAATTCCTGCAATTTTGTTCAGTATAAAACTTAATTTACTGTAACTTTATTTTAACTCTATAATAGATTTGTTTTTTTTCCTCCCTAGAAGTGGTAATTTTCTGATAAATACTGAGAACAGATGAGCTTTGTTTAAATTTTTGAATTTAAAAAGTTGTACAGTTTCAGATCTAAAACTAGAGATAAAGCTTTGTCCCCTTTATACTAATCAGTGACTGTATATATGTCTGGGTTTGATTATAGTTGGCATCTCTGGATTCTGAGACAAAATATGCATTGCTAAGATGTCATGTCTTTCTGGCAGTCCAAAAGTATAATCACTCAAATACATATTGACTCCTCCAGCTTTTTTGTAACCTGGTCTTAAGGTCTGCCTTACCTCCCCCTCTCTGCCCCCATACTCCTAATACCCCCTCTGATTTCTCATTACTTACCATTTAATCATTTACTCTAAGTAACACGACTTAACTTCTGCATGGTTGTATCTTACCTCCCTTATTAGATTGTAAAGGCCTACTGAACAGAATCAACTTTTTTGTTTATTTTTTAAATGTTTTAGTGCAGGAAAATAGAATGTGTGCAAATATTTGAATTAGTGACTCACCAAACCAAAATATGGCCCTTTACATTGTGCCTAATTCCGCAGTATTAAAAAGTTGAACAAGTTTTAAAGTCTTTAATTTATTTTTCTAGTATAATACTCACAATTAGGATCAATAAACAGTAAATTGAAAAAATAAACTGTTATGTTAAGGCAACTAAATTATTTTTCAAATCTAATCAAATTTATTCGTGTACGTTGATGATTCTAAAAATCTTTCTTACAACTCATCTGCATCTGTATTGCCTTGGCATTGTTTAAAAATGTGGGATCTTGAATTTCAACTTTGAATTTATACTCTAATACAAGAATCTGTATTATTGGTTGAGCCCAGAAATCTGTATTTTAAAAAACTGGAGTGGAGCCTTTATGTATTCTAAATTTTGAGAATCACTGGGATTGTTGAAGAAATTATACCTTAATTTGGAATGATTCAAGTACATTAGAATTTCAACTTAAGTTGTACAGGGGAAAATAAACAGTATAAATTATTAATGAATAATAATTTCAGTTTGATGTTTGGGAAGTTAATATCTTTATTAATCTACAAATGAACTTCACTGATGTTATATAGTTTTAATGATGTAGAGTTAAAATCCTAGAAATTTGACAAATCCCACCTAAGCTGAGAATCACTGAGATATGAAACAATAAAACCACTGAAAAGCATTTGTATATAATTAACATGTAAGTTACTTCTAAGAACATAGAGAGTAGATAACAAAATATTACTTTCTCTTTCAAAGCTGAAGGTGTAATTGAAAAACAATTACTGCCTAATACCTTCTGAGTTAGTGTTTACTAAAGTTAAAAAAATACTCTATATTATTTGTTGCTATTATAAAAAAGTTCTGCACTGGGTTGAATAGGCTTTTCAAGGCATTGATTCAGGTATTGCAGACTTTAGTGTATTAGGAGTTAAGCAAACCATTAATAAGTAATCCAGCAGTATAATGAAATTATCATGAATCAAAAGTGCCATAGTACATTGAATGCTGGTAGTAAGTAATTGAAATGAAACCCGGTTGTTATAACTTGCCATAATATAAGACAATAAGTTGCAGACTATTGAAGAAGAGCTTTTGGTTAGAAAAATCAAAGAGTTTTCTGGCTGTTGTATCCTCATGTACTTGTTTTCCTTGCTCTTGACCTTGTGATATTTTGCACTTCTTCAACATGTTACTTTATATAGGTTGTCATTGGGTGGTAGAGCACTGATGTTTTTTCTTTATTCTGCAAAGATGTTAAAAATATTTATCCTATGGGATAATATTTAATTCTTATATAAAATGATTTACCAATTGACTTGGCAGAGGAAGCATTTCTTTCAACCTCAAGCTTGTGTAATCAAGCAATTATACAAAATTAAATACAAGCCAAGCCCTAGGCTGAGTGCTTTGTCATACCATCTCATTTAACCCTCACCGTGACCTGCTTGTATGGAAAAGAAACTGAGGGTGCAGAGGGAGTAATCCACTACAGATCATCCAAAATCCGTTTGTTCATATTTTGACATTGTGTGGCCCTGCTGGCAGGCACCAGTAAAGAAGATTCCTCCACTCCCAATTGCAATTTTCTCCCTCACTTAATGGCAGATGTAAGCCACAAAGGTTGCAGGCTGAAAAAGTTTGGTGGACTGGCATATGAAGTCTCAACTTTTGATGAAACCGAAAGAGCTGAGGACAAGTTCAAGGTAGAAAATATGAACTGCTTTCCTTGGTTCTTTAAGTCAAATAGTGTGACCTCATTATTTTGTTTCAATTTCCAATTCCAAAAACTCCAGATAACACCCAAGATCAAATGCAAATATGAAAACACATTCCAAAATTGAATAAATGATTTTTGGATTATCTGGGCCACTGGTTGCCTCTGCTAGTGTTTATAGTCAAGAGGTGATGATGCCATGTATGATAAGCAATCCTTTGGTGAAAGTCTGGATACTTAAATTCTCTTAAGAGTGTAGAATTTTGTGTTTTAACAAGAACTGTTTTTACAGAATGCCCTGTTCAGTCTTTTGGGTTTTAGAATGTCATTTGAAATTCTTAGCCATTTAAGACATGGAAGGTGAAGTCATATTTGGGGTGGAGGGAGGAGTCCTACTGGGAGTAACAGCTTAAGCCTGACTGGGTTTCATAAAGTATTAATTATAACTGTTGAAATAACAAGTTAGCATTCATAAATGGGACTCCTATTAAGAACGAAGCAGTCACTCTCTTTCTGGCCCCCACTTTATTTTTTTCTCTTACATTCAAATTTTACAATGCACTTGTCAGGCCAGTCGTTAAATTCACATTTGTATGCTAACTATGAATACTGTCTTGGCTTCCAAGTTGGTCAAGTTGAGCTACTTTGAAGCTAGTAATCTGCTGAATTAGCTGACTTCTTTCATGGTATTCCAGAACAAACAGATCTCCTTTAAAAAATCCCTACTTTTGTTATTTCAGGTGGTTTGAGTCTGTTATTTTTACATAAAGATGTTAAGATTCTTCCAAGATAGGTTCAAAGAAAAATTTAGAAATGAAATGTTAAACACATTAAAAGGACCTTTAGCATAATGATCATGTCACTGGGTGAAAGATGAGGTTAAAATTGGTCATCACTTGACTGTGTGACCATTTTTTTTTTTTTTTAATTTGTATAGACAGTCTTAAAATAGCCCTAAGTTCTACAAAGGAATGCCCTTAGGACAAACCTCAGAATAATAATAATATAGTGAGTGCTTTCTCTAATGGCCTTGGGAGGTAGGCACTGCTATCTCTGTTTTATAGATGAGGAGATAGAAGCACAGAAATAAAGACTCCCTGTCCAAAGTAAGAATGAAATCTATCAGATTGGGGAGACAATGCAATGGAATTGGGAGCATGAGCTTCAAAGTATGCAGAAATGGGTACCAAGTCTGACTCTGACCCTTATCTGCTCAATAAGTAAGCACAGTCCTTATACTCTAAATCTCAATGTCCTCATCTGTAAAATGAATATGTCAGCTTCAAATAGTGGTTTTGAGGATTAATTTAAATAATAGAAATTAATAATAGTTCTGGATACTTATTATTTACTATGTATCAAGCATTGTTCTAAGAATTTAATATAAATTTTAACAATAACCATATTTTTCAGATATTCTTATTATCTGTATTTTTACCAAGAAGAAAACATTTACATAGAGAAGCTAACTTACTAGTAATAGCAAAATACCTAACATAGTACATAAATTAGATATATGTTATTATATATATATATATATATCATATTAGATATATATTACATGTATTATACAGAATGACAATCTTTCATAATTCTTTACTTTTCTCATGATACCTTTACAAATAAATATTGGAAAAGGATAAGGGTACAAAATATATATGGGTTCATAGGGCCTATTTGGGGTCATCTAAACTATGCATAAGAGTGAAATCAGAAAGGAATAAACTAATTTTTGGCACATTTGATTTTAACCCTGTTGCAATGATACATTCAAATAGTTATTGCTACTTTTTATCAATGGAACAAGTCAAATGGACATATCTCAGCAAAGAATGGGGAATGATATACAAATATTTCTGGATATGTATCCACATGTTTGTGTGTAATCAGGTTTTGTTGTCATCTAAATGAATTTAGAATCCTAAAATTATGTTTTAGGGCTGTTTTTCTTTTGCATGTTTTACTATCTTTTCTGATGATAAATGATTGCCATGTGCGTTTACTTTAAAAATATAGCCAGTCCTCTAAGATCCACTTTCTCTTTTCCTCTCCTTTGTCCTCAGCCCTACCTATGACTCCCCCATACACGATACACAAAAGTAGGCTTTTAAAACTCCACCATTAAGCACAAAGAGGCCAAGGAATGTTTGGAACCAGTATGTTGGAGCCAAAAAGGTTTATCACATTCGAAAAAAGAATCTTTGGCATTAATGAAGAAACCAAAACGAGTTGTAAAACATAATTACTGCATAAACACACAGTATGTGTGAAGCTATGATCAGTCCTTTAAACTCTCATAACAAAGAGAAATCTAGACAATGTGTCTGTTGTTTCAATTTCCACGCATACTCCTACCATATCCTGCTAAGACAGTGCCTTGCTTATACATATATTCATACAAAGTGTATATAAACATCCAAGCTCAACTTGTAGGGGTTTGAGTTCTTGAAATAGTTTCAGAGTTTTGGCTCCTTATCCAGGTAAACAAGGAAGGTCACATAGCTCATGGCTCCAATTTCAACAGTCAAATGGTCTCATGCAAATGAATGGCTACCTTCCACTCCCAAGCAACATCTGCTACCTAGGAAAGCCGTATGGTTATCTCACTTTTAGGAAGGAAATCCCCTTTTTTCACATTTGTGAAATGAACTTCCTTGCAGCACGTTGTCTTAAGGCTGTCTCAGGTTTCCTCCTACCACTCGAGGAGTTCTGTAACCTTCACAAGCTTTTGTGGTGTTTCATAATATAATTACACAAATTAATAGTAGTGATTATTGTGATAGCTAAAATTAGTGGGATATTTACTATGTTCCAGGCACCTTGCTAAATCCTTAGCAAGGTTATGCATAGCTCACATAATTCATCCTTACCACTGTTTGAGGGTGGGGTTCTAATTTTTAAATTTTCTTTCTGGTGATTTCTCCCCACTCCCATGTCAAATTTGTTTAAACACTATCAAACAGCTCTTCAGTTTTAGAGGAATATTCTTTCTTGAGAGTCATTTGAATTATTATGCTTCACTTACTAATTTCCTTAAAATGTATTTTCACTTATTCACATGGTTTTAGGAAGAAACGTAGGGAGGGATGAAAGGTATCAAGGCAAACTGGCTGGATGAGCTAATAACATGAATTGGAATTTAAATGACAAGATTCACACAGATAAACAAAAGAGCAAGCAATTTGTGTGAAGGTATGTGGGCGTGAAACCACTTCGGATGTGTGTGTATATATGTGTATGTGTGTGTATACACAAGTGTATATACATATACACACATATATACACCTGTGTGTGTGTGTGTGTGTGTGTGTGTGTTGTGTGCAAGGGAAAGCAAAGAAAATAGGTATCTTGTTGTGAATTGCCAAGGATGCAGTACTAAGATACATAGACTATATTCCATAGGTGGTGAGATTGGAGTTTTAAGGAGAAAAGAAAAGCCTATTTTTAGAAAACTCACTTTAGCAGCTACTCTGTTACTCTAAGCAAGAAATAAAGCTGGAAATTTAAATTCAGGAAGCATGAAATTAGAGATAAGGGAAAATTTGAGAGACATTTAGGAGTCAAATTCAGCAGTATTTGTTTGGTGTTGGGATCAGGGAAGAGTAAAGAGTATAGGATGACTGAGGTTTCAGAATTGAGAGATGTGCTAATTGGGCCTTGACTTCTTGTTTCCAATATTTCCCCTCTTCTTCAGAAAAAGAGAGTTAAACACTGAGGTTTACTTCTCATTCCTGAAGAGTCCAGAAGGCAATAGTTCTGGCTGATTTGGCTCCAAGGGTCAGTAAGGGCCTATGCTCCTGTCTTCCTGCCTTATCCCTTTGGTGCAGAACTTTCAACCCCAAAGCCATCTCTTGTTCCAGTACAGATGCTGAAGCTCTGGTCATCATGTCCACGTTGCAGGATGGAAGATACATGGAAGAGACAATCACAAAGAGGTGTCCCTTCAGTAATCCCCATTTATAACTTAGCCAATGATCCTCTTTAGCAGTCAGAAAATATTAAGGACTTTTATAAATATATAAGATATAGAAAAGTGGTCAAAATATATGAACAGACATTTCTCGGAAAAGGAAACACAAACAGCCCATAACACAGCAAATGCTCCACCTCATTAGTAGTCAGAGAAGTGCAAATTAAAACCACAATGAAAAATATAATACCAACCAATAGGAAAGAAATTTAAAAATTCATTTGTCATCAAGTTACCATGTCTCTGGAACAATGTATCTTACATTTTCTGTTGGTGGGAATATAGATTTAGAGTTTGCCATTGGAACAGTTTGTCATTACCTAGGAAAGCTAAAACATGAAAGTGTTTTGCAGACCAGCAATATCACTATCCTGGGTATGTAAAAAAAGTTTTTAAAATCAGGTTAGGTGAGTGAACCAGCAATAAAAAAAAAAAAAAGAACTAGAACAGAATATTGAAAGGCCTAAATTGAATAGAATAGAAATGGAAAATATCATAATGAATTGTTAATAAGTATGTGCATTATTTTGTTAATCTTTTGGGTTGCTAATAGTAAGGTTTTTAATTGCTTTATTAATCTTTTTGGGTTGTGTTTAAAATGTATATATATATATATATATATATATATATATATATATATATATTTTTTTTTTTTTTTTGTATCAGGGATTGAACCCAGGGGCACTTTACCACTGAACTAAATTCCCAGCCCTTTTTATTTTTTATTTTTTGAGACAGGGTCTTGCTAAACTGTTTAGGGCCTTACTTAGTTGCCCCAGCAGGCTTTGAACTTGCAATCTTCCGGCCTCAGCCCCCAACTCATTGGGGTTACTACAGATGTGTGTCACCATGTCTGGCTAATTTTTTTGTTTTGTTTTGTTTTTTAGTTTTAAGTGGGAATTTTTTCCCACATTTTTAAAATTGATGCATTACAGTTGTACATATTAATGGGATTTGTTGTTACATATAAAATGTATTTCTTTTTTTTTATTCGTTCTAATACATGATAGCAGAATGCA